ACAGAGCACCCAAATGTCAGCATCACGGTCGTTAGATTGGTGGACAATAGGAAATTTAATGTGCATAAAGAACATGATTCGGAGCTACTCAGCAAGTGTAAGATAGCAATTGCTGGGAGAAAACAACATGTTTACAAGGGGGAACGTGTTAAAGATAGCGTGGACATGATCAATGTGATTAGGTCCATGCAAAAATTTTATGACCTAATTCGGGTGGGGAGACGCCATGATTGTGATTCACCATTGTTCATGGGACTCAAAGAATGGAATGAGTTTCCGGAACTTGGGTTCATTGGAGATATGTTGGCATCTTCAGATTCCAATTGTGAGGTCTCGGTGTTGGTGGTGCAGCAACAAATGCTTGGAAATGATCAACAGATGGTTGACCACAACAGCTTTAAGTCCTATGGAACCCCCTCATTTTCTGTCGTGGATATGCCTCGTGATGATAGAGTGCACCCACTTCGTTATTAGCAAAACAAACACAGTAGAGAAATTTCTTTGTTTACTAATTTCTCACTTTTGCTTAATTAGAATAGCTTTGTACACGAATTCTGCTTATGCAGGGTTGGTGAATATGAGCTAGATAGAGACCATTTTCTTGTAAACTATATTTATTTTTTCTATTTCTTAAATTGTATAAACTTTGTAAATTATATCAATTTTTGTAGATACTAAGATGACAACATGCTTTTAAGTACTGAAGTAGCTACAATAGTATGGTGACTGAAATTACTATTGGGAGTCAAGCCAATTTGGAAGACCCTCAAATAAGGAGGGAGAAATTAAAGACGATAGTTAATCAATCTAGTAAACTTCGAGTGCAAGAAGATGCAACCAATAAGAGGCTAGATTATCAAATTGCATGTTCTAATTTTTTGTTGTATGGTATTAGTTTCTCAGTGATTCCAATTGCATATCAAGAATATTGGTTTTTTTATTGAAGAATTTATTTATTCATCAAGATTCACGTCAACTTTAGTTCTTTTCAATATTAACCCGAGGTCTATTTCTTTACAGGTGGAAGAGACTGATGTAAACCAAAAAATAAGTTATTCAAATGCAATAAAATAAAATAAATGATGCGACGTTCAGTCAAGACCTTGGATGGCTGTGGAGTGATGTGCGTTAGTCGTCTGAGCCATAGGATAGGAACCTGGATTGGGCTTAGAATTTGGTGGGTCAAAGTCGTGCAGTTTTGCATATATGAAAATATATTGGCCTCATAGCATGTCTTATTTTTATTTATAGCCCAAACACAAGTTAACATGACTTTGGTCTGGTATGTCATTTTGCAACCCATAATTAAAATGGGTTTAAAGAATTTATCAGTTAATTTTATTCATATTATTGTTGAAACTTTACAGTTTAATCTAATTTCTGGTAAATTTTGAATTAATGATTCCATTTGGTTGCAATATGTACATGTATCTAAATAATACAATCACCATCTTGACGATCAGATGGTGATTGTATTAAATACATATTTTTACATGAATTATATATGACCGTCAAATGGTGATTATACTAAATACATGTAAGTATCGTAGCCAATCCTGAATTTTCAATTCATATTCACGAATTTGACGTATGTAATCCTTCTATCATTCATCCCGTTGTTTCAGTAATCGTTTACACAACATGTACAAATCGATGTTCTGTAGGACATGCATGCTGCACAACTAATACACACAATTGCTAGTTGGTGTATTTGTTGTCTTCATAAACATCGAATTTTCCATACTTATTCTAAGAAACCACATCCACAAAGTTGAGACAAAACCTTGAAACTAAATATAGGTATAAATAAAGTGTCAAAATACTTGTCAAAATATATATAAAATAAAGTCTAAAATTGTGATCTTACCCCTTTGGCTGTGTGCAAAGATGGACTACAGAAACTTTATCCCAAAGACAAGATCGAGCAAAATGCCAATTGAAAGATGATTGTCAAATTATATGTAGTGCAATGCAAGCACGAGTTGAGAACCAGGATCCCACATATTCATACAGCCACCACCAAACAAGCAAATAAATGGAATATTGCTACCCACAAGAAGAAAAGAAAAGAAAAGGTGACATAGAAAACTCGAATATATATCATTCATGACAAAACAATAACTGATAACATTATGGGGTAATACATAAGAAAATAGGGACAAGCAAGCAATAAGCAAATAAACCACTGGCTTCACTTGATACCATTGGCCCATGAACATTTTGATGTCGAGGCCTTAACAACTCATGGGGACAGGACAGATAGGATGTGCTAGATTCCCCAAAACCGCGTAAAATTGAGTTATGTTCCACAACAAAAACAAGTTCAAAATTTGGGATCCCTAATCACTTTTATTTCATGTTGATATTTAAGTCTATTTACTTTCATTTATTCTAAATTTTTAAACAATAAGATACTGCCATCAATACCAAGAACAGAAGTTTTAGTTTGTTTTTGGTCAATCCGAATAACATTCATTAAAGAAAAACAAAATCTAATACAAGGTAAATTAGGGAAAGCTCAGAAAGGCAGTCCAAAACAACTTAGCACAAAAAATATAGAGACGGAGTACCTCCCGATCAATAACATTCATATTGGGGAATCTAGCAGTTTAAATTGGTCAATATCATTCATATTGGTCAATTAATTTGAGATTCTTACAGTTCAAAACATGAAAAACTAAGGTTTGGGACAATGCAAAATTGACTTTCCATTGACTAATGATATTGAAACTCACCCCCACATACATAGAGAAAGCCATTACAGTATTTTACTTCGATGTCTCCCATCCAGAGGGATTCACCCAAGTTCTCCTCCGGGAACTGGCGACTAGACCCGTGAACTCATATCCTTTTTGTCTTAACCAATGCTACAATTAATCGAAGGGCCTATGTTCCTTGGGATCTCCCCATTTTTCTACTAGAATTCATCAGTTAATAATCAAATCCATATAATGTGTTTGATTAAATGCACGGCATTCTCTCTTTGGTCCAAACCCACAACTCACATGCTTCCCCATGAAATTTCCCAAAAAATATTCCAAATTTAACTGGTTAAACTGAAATCTTTGATCTACAAGTTTGTGGTCCAGAACATTAATATAAACATATATCATGGGATGGAGTTTGAGAAATGGATGTGTAATAAGAATAATATTATATGGGAGAGATGGGAAGAGGGAATCCATGTGAGGACTGAGTTATACGAAATAGGTTTAGCAAAGAAGATTTGCCAGGTTGTTTTGCATTTATAAATATGTAGCTTCAAGATGGAGCCCTTCAAAACTTTTGGCTTTATGCTAATAAGATAATATGCCATTAATAATATATGGGCTGGAGCTCATGTCCTTCATCAAACACCAAGGCCCCCGTCTCTCTCTCATGTGTATGCATTTCAGATAATTTTCACACATCATTTTTTATTTACACGACTAATGAAGTTTCTACCATTGCCTATTAGGAGTTCTAATTTTGTCAACTGAGAATGGAGGCCTCCCATAAGAGGCAAGCACCATGTTATAAGTTGGGAATAAGAAGAAGATGTTGCATGACTTATTATTGTGATTAATTTAAGGGTTTTTGAAAGCCAATCCATTAGCTTGGTTTAACAATAAATGTAGTGTTCACAATCATTATACTTAAAGAAAATGTATAATCTATTGAATTTCATATGTATTACAAAAGTTGTTACCCGATATTCCCTCCATTCGTTGGCCAATTAAACGCTCTCATAAGCTAGCATGCACGTCTCTTAACCTTATTAGGTAAGGATTAAAACATTTTTCTAAATTCAGCAAGACTACATGTCAATTATTGCATATAGTATATAGTAATGTATGTATATATAGCTGCACTACAATACCGCGTAGATGAACTAGTATGCCAACTGTTACAATAATATATAATGACTTATATGGCAGTGCTTCCATAAACTAATTGACAATGGACTTTGTTATGGTATGCCCTAAATTCTAAATCTAAAAGCATCTTCACTAGTTGGTGGAAGACAAAAGTAAGGGCAAGGGCATGTAAGTTGCCCTTGCTATTCACTCTGAATAGTAATTGTCTTTGTGCAACTCTACCCATTTTGAAAGGGCAAGGCCAAAGGCAAGTACTATTCAGAGTAAATAACAAAGACAACTTACATGCACTTGTCCTTGCCCTTTCCCTTGCCTTCTACTAACAGGTTGAGATGCTCTTAGAAGTATGGTATCATGGCAAGCTATAACTAGTTATTCTTTCTTTTCCTCTCCATGAAAAAAAAAAAAAACCTTAAAAAGTTGAAAATTAAAACGGATTGAATAAAGAGCATGGGCGTGTGTTTAGTATTAAACATGGGTGTGTGTTTAGTATTTCTCTTAATATAAAGGGCAACTAGCAATCTCACACATGCTATGCATATGGAGAGAAATGTGTAAAACTTTCATAATTTTAATATGTAAAATTACTATTTTAGAAAATGACCTAATTAAAAAATGACGTTTCTAGCATTCTCTTTTCTTAATAATAAGTGTACACCAGGCCTTTAATGTTATTGAGCAAGTTACTTGCTCATTTGGATAGCCAATTAGTACGATGATTTAGTGGTATATTTTTTTATTTGTAAGATCTTAGGTTCAATTCTCGTCAAAGATGAATTTGAACCATATTATTACTAGTCCACTGGGAGACATAGCTAACTCACTCCTCCACTCTTTACTGTAAATAATATCGTTTGTTTAAAAAATAAAAAATTTTCATTTGGACAATCATGGAAAGCAGTTCCATCTTGTGCTGACTTTTAAAGAAAGTATATGGAATTATATGGACTACATGAAATTCGACTATATATGTTAAGACATGATCTCTTATCTATTTCAAAAACTCTAATTTATTTCAAATCTCAAAATTGCTGAAATTAAACACACCACTTCAACTGATGGAATTTTTTTCCCACTTTTGGGCACTAGATAGGCTGCCCAGTTATTTTTTTCCACACTAATCATGAGATCACAAAGAGAGAATAAAAGAAGCAGCATATTTACTTACAAACTTGGTGTAAATACAATTGTATTTCTACGAACATTTCCTTTTTCTCTCTCGCTCTGTCAATATAGCCATGATTTTCTTTCTTTGATTTTCTTGAGAACCAAACAGATCATGACCTCATGAATACTGAATTTAACTCAGAATCTGCCGTTATACTACGCAGACCTGAAAAAAAAAAAGAACAAAAAACAAAAATATCCACAAGAAGCAATACGAACCCATGTACCCCTCCCAAAAAAAGTCCCCATCACCGGAAAAATAAAATATTAGTCTTCGGTGATGCTTTCGAGATTAGGCCGCCATACTGCGACACGGCCAGCCCTCCGATCCCGGCGAGACGTAAACTTTTTTTCCGTCACAATCTCCGTCAAGTAACGGTCAGTACTATCGCTTTGGCTCTTGCTGCTCTTTTTTGAGGGTTTCTTAATGCCGTTGCTCTTACTCTTTTTCCTCTTCTCCGGCACAGAAGAAGACGGAATCAAGAAATAGATGCTGCCTCGCTTGAGCTCCGACTCCGGCGAGAGTATCAAAATTTTGCGTACGACGCCTTGGGAGCTGGGTTTGCTGAGAACGTGATTAGGGTTTGCTTCCAAGATCTCGCCAGCGGTGACAGGATGTGAGATTTCTTCTACGTAGCCATTCAAATGGACGATCCGTATCAAGTCTAGGGCTCCACACGGTAGTACGCAAGCCAAACAGCACCTTAGACTGTTGCCCATCTCTGGTTTTTGAGCTCTCCCGGTGGATTTTGATTTGTTTTTTGGTTTTCTTTTGTGCGTCTTTGGGGTCTTGGGGTTGAAGGCTTGAATGCTATGGAAGGTTTGGACTAGCTGTGTGTTATATAAATAGGAATAATTGGTACTCATAAGAACATAACAGAGGTGCATGATATTATTGTATGCATTGATTGGTTTTGAAATGACCAAATTGTCCTTTGTTGGTGACTTTTGATTTGTTTTTATTTATTTGGTTTTTTTTTTTTCTGTTTTGGTATGATCTTGTGTGTGTGGGTCTTGCTTCCATGAGCTAATTAACTTAAGCCGCCTTCTAAACAATTAGTGATGGGGGGTTACTTGCATATATGTTTTTTTTGGAAGTGCTTATGAGATAATGAGCCTTTTGGGGAATGCTTAAGATAGCTAGGGTTTCTTTGTTTCAAGGGGGACGCCAAAGTTAATCAATAATTTGGGTGTATTGTTACTGTTTTTGTAGTATAAATCCATATGATTATGATATGAGTAATTAATAGTTATGTCAAAACTCTGAAGTTACTGGTATTTAGGGTACTTAGTGAGGTTTATAATTAAATATTGTCATAAATCTTTAATAGTCCGGATTACTAGTGGTCTCACTTTTTATTCATTATGTTGACAAGTAAACAAAACTCTTAAGTTACTAGTATTTAGGGTACTTAATGAGATTTATAATTTAATTCTGACTATTGATTTTTCATACTATTTGGGACAAATTAATGAGTGGTACTAGAACTAATTCTAACATTTTGACACCGAGATAAAACACACAAGGACATGCTTGGTTCCCACTCTTCTACTTTTCCTATAAACCACTGTATACCGTCGAGCAAAACCGTATAAAATACATTCGAGGGCATATTTAGAATTGTAAAAATACAAAGAGAAGTTGGATGTGGCTCCCACAACATGACGAGTCCATCGCGAATATAGGCATTAGTACTGGAAACGACAGATTTAAATAATGGCTTTTGGCTTATGCTGAAATTATAAGCGATTAGGTACGGAATGAAAATCGCAGAGTACCAAGCTTTTTATTTTATGAGAAAATGGTAATCTTCCCCTCGGGTGAGCAATTTCACAAGCTCACAGCGACAAATCATTGGTCCAGTTGGCCTCAGCCGAAAGCAGCATACTTCTTTGCCTCGATGTGCTTTGGAATCGCTGAGATTTTATTGGTCAGTGACATTGTTAACAGCACGCTGGTTAGGAACTTATTGCATCTCAGACTCAGACTCAGACCTTATGCTAACAAAGTCCAGAGAATCTAGCTGTCTTCAAGAACATGTGTCTTTTTAGTTACACACTTTTTTTAGCTTTCACATATTTTTTAAATTTTTTTATTGTTCGATCATATGAATTGAATGTTTACATAACACTACCTGAAGTAAATTAGATAAAAGTCATGTTTGTGGTTAATCTTTCCGTTTACGGTTATATTATGCTTCACTAGCCTTCATGCACGCGTTCACGCTCGTGCATTAGGTATTTTTTGAATCATGGCGTGCTATACACGACTTACACGCTTTAAATGTATTTATATACGTAAATTGACAAAAGGAAAGTCAAATATTTGAAGTAAATGAATAATTTTAGATTATACTAGAATAAACCCCTCATAAACCAATTAAAGCAGCTGGATTCACATAATAAAATAGGTCTATATAAAATTTACATTAAGAATAAAGAAAATAATATTTAATAAACAATTGATTGAATCATATTATTGCTAGCACATTGTGAGGCTAAGCCCACCCCCCCTCCCCCTTAGTGTAGATAAGATCATTTGGTTAAAAAAAAAAAAATCATTTGACAATTAATTTAATCACATTATTATCCCCGTGTGAAAGACCTTTTTTTTATAACCAACATTACACACCTCTTAAGATGTTTTGAACGTATTTAAAAATAGAGAAATTGAATTAGATTATTGTCAGCCTATTGTGAGACACTAAATTAAAAAATTAAATTTTTTTTAAAAATGTACCTGTAATACCCCATATTTAAAAAAAAAATGGTTATATGTGTGTGTGTGTGTGTGTGTGTGTGTGTGTGTGTGTGTGTGTGTAATTGTTTTTATGTGCAAGAACCTACTTTCGATATGTAAAATAGTCTCAATGTAAAATCCTTTTCAAAAACTAGCTATTTCATGTTCATATGTAATTAGAGATATTTTAGTTTGAATTAGAGAAGGGAGATTAAATGAGTTTGGTTTGATTTTCCCCACAAAGGGCTGAGAGTTTGAGGTTTGACTAAATGAGTAATTTTGTCTTGATATTTTCTCTCAAAGATGAGGTGGAGAGTTTGTAACATTAGGAGTTAATGGTTTGGTGATTACTCACCACTCTAAATGTGAAGGTGGAAGTCTACTTAAGGGTGAGTTGACAAGTTTGTATTGATTAGGAATCTAAGAGTTAAATGTTTGGTGATGATTCATCCCTCCAAAATTTGAAGAGGTGGGATTCATATCCCTTAGACTTTAAACGTGACTTTTGAGTATTTATCCACATGCATGGGAATGATTGCTTCCAATTACAAGATGTCCAAGTGTTGCAAAACAAAGTGAAACGTGTCCTTAAGGCTTAATGGAGGATTCCATTTCTTCATCTATAAAAGCAGAGGGAGGAGAGGAACGGGGGAGGAGAACAACACACGGGGAAACAAGAATAAAAAAACCCTATCTCCTTCCCAGATCACTTTTCTCGTTTTTCCCATTTACTTTACATTATGTAAGGGCTTTAAGCCATCTTTCATTGTATTTGTAAGTCCCTCATATATAGTGAAATACAATGAAAGCAAACCTCAGTGGATGTAATCGATTTGGCGAACCACTTAAATCTTGTGTTGTTTATGCATTTACATTTTGAGATCATTGCCATGAGAAGCACTCCACTAAACCATCGAAAATATCCATTTACTTCCCTTGAGAATGTTGTAAAATAAGGAGGGGGGGAGGAGAGACAAATTCCAGAAAATGCATGAGAGCTTACCCAACAAAATTGCTCTATGGAACTCAAATGGATTTATGCATCAATATCACCTAGAGAGATGGAGTAAAATGGTAAAGTAATATTTCTCAATTAGATTGTTGTGTGTTATTCGTACTATATATTATTGATAATATAATTTTGGCTACTAACAATTTGATTAGTGTTGCATATATTATAGAGCATGTGATTATTGATATCCTTGTTACATGGTACATACATAAACATTCATGCAAAGCAAGAAAGAGAGTTCAGTTGTGTTGAGCTTTGTAAAGTGTTTGAGTTGTGAGGATATTCAAGGGCTAAAGTTTGCCTTGAATATAAAATATTGAACCTTGTATATGTCAGGCGTAGGGTGCAAGGCTTGAGTATACAATTAGGCATCGGGGGAAGTGACATATCTCGACCTGGATTGTCCACTAGGACCCCAAATTGAGATGTGCTGGCTGATACCTGGAAAGTGACGAAACCATAAAGTGTGGTGATGTGGAATACGTGAATAAATTTAAACCTAAAAGTGTCTAAACACGAGAGTGCATTGTGAGCGGGAATGACATCATTTCACACGTGACGTCAGAGCATAAGTAAAGTACAGTATAGTGGATTGAAAATCATACCATCGAAGGTAATCTTCAATACTAAGACTTGCCACAAATCCTCGTCGATACGAAAACTTTGCTACTAGAACCTGGAGGGATAAAAAAACAAAAGTGAGTGGGCCTGAATATAAAGCTTTAATAAATACCTTTTAAACGATATAACCCCTCGTTGTAATACCTGTATAGGTTCCAGGAAATCATACTACATATAAGTATGAAATCAAATGTAAATCAATAGTAAATCCAAGAATATTCGAAATCATTACATATCGGCAACAACAATATAAATCAAGTGTTCATCAGTCTATGGTAACCCACGAGTCGGAGTTACCTAACGCAACCTGTACGACTCATAAATCAATCCATGATAACCCATGAGTCGAAGTTGCCTAACGCAACTTGTACAACTCATAAATCAATCTGTACGACAGTGTCGGAGTTGCACAAAACACTAATATAGTCATGTCCTAACTCAATCATTTCAAATAATATTGTAAACTCACTTGAACTTACCTGTACGTCCCGCGTTCACCATAGCACTTCAAGGCATTCACAACAATTATATGTAGGTAAATATGCATATGGTTATACCATAATGCAATCTAAAACTCAATCATATCATAGTATTTTAGAATATACAAAAATATATATATATATATATATGACATGGCATAAAATGCATAAATCAATTTAAAAGTATTTTGTGGAACTATCAATGATATACATACGATAAAAGGAAAAGACCCACTCACCTAAGGTCCGCGCTACGACTCCTTAGCACGAATATCGAGACGTCATGAACAATCCTCACCTAGAACAATTATTCAGTCATGTCGCAGAAATCTTATCAATAGAACACATAACATAAAACACTTCCTAATGACGTTCTAGAATGATTTGAGACTCATTGACCAAAAGTCAACTGTCAGTCAAAGATCAACGATAGGGTCCGCAACCCTACGTAACTCAATCAGAAAGATCCGCACCTGGACTTCCGATCCGTAACTTCCAAAAATCCACAATTTTCTTCTAAAACATCATACTAAAGTTTCATTACGATCCAACGGTTGGATCTCCGCCAATTGCCAATTCAAATGGCGGTCAATGTTTTATTTTACGCACTTACAAATCCAATTCGAGAAGATCCGTATCTCAAATTCCCAATCTGTAATTTCTAATATCCTCACATATTACATACTATAATGTATTAAAGTTTGGTGACGATCCAACGGTCGGATCGTCAATTCATATAATGTTCAAGTAGTGGTATTTATCAAAACTATGCTCAAACGATGAGATTTCATCAATCGGACTTCACCTATGGAATTGGGGTGTCAAACTTAGCTTAGAAAGGTTAAGGGTGACTCGGCTCACGCGCCGCCGCACATGGCGGTCGGCCACCCCGATTCGCCGGAAAATTTAACTATCTCTAAAAATTCTCAAATTTTATAGAAATGAAGATCTCAAAGAGTAGAGAAAATTTTATACCTGTGACCAAGTCCAATTTGGA